TATATGGATGAATGTGTGAAAAAAATTGTAAATGAACTTTGAACTTAGTTTAACAGAACGGATATTTTTGATACTATAGCAAAATAAAAGGCAGAAACATACGAAATAGTATTAAGTAACGCGAATTACCAGCCCGTAGAGGAGTTTGAGAAGTTTAACCCAGGTAAAGATAATACATTTTCAAACGAATGCTTATATCGGCTTCCGAAATGCTACTCTCTGCATTCTTTCCATAAGAATTGTGTGGAAGTGGCGGCTGCTTATGCGTAAAAATTTTATACTAATAAGTTATGAGGAAATGATGGTTAATAAGTATATCGATAAGAATAGGTGTAAAATATTTGTAGGTAATTAGCAATAAATGATGATAATTAATTGAACCAAAAAAACTGGGTATATCGGCCCAAGAGAACTGAACGCATTTTTACCTTCCGATAGTACTTAGATACTATCCCTGACTCCCAACTTACGTGTAGGTGCAACGTAGAGGAAAGAGCAAAGAAGGGCCCATCAGACCAACTATTGGCACGCAGCTGTCTTGAAGGTAATTAATAGTGGACGGCGTAATGGAAATTTGGCCGACTTAGATGTCAAAACTGATTACCTCACGTCATCCTGGGATTTTAGTTTTAAGATTCCCATACGCTTTCCAACCCGGAAAGATTGGGAAGGTGGCCTCCAGTCGGTAAAAGTTGGTGTTTTCATTTAGCCCGATGGCTCAAAGATGGAAAAGGAGTTGGCTCGGATCTGTACTCCAAGTCTACGAATTTTGCACTTCTAACTTTATTATCTTAAGAAATAAAATTAATTAAAAGGGCATTTTATGTACCTATTCATCTTTGTGAAGCAAAAACCTTTGAATTTTTTTAAATTGCACAGAATTTTCTCTTTCATTTGGTACCCATATTATTATTCTAAATTGCAATGAACGTTTTAAATAATTTCTGTTTGTACTAGTGTCAACCTGAGATAAATACTTCTTCTCTTCGTATAACCGATCGCAATCGCTTTCTGGCTCTTTATTTATCTATTACTACAGCTGCCTAATTTACATTTGCGCTTCACACTTCGCTTCTCTTTATAATATATTTGGCACTAGATTCCTTTCCGGTCCGTTTGTGTACCGATGTACATGTCTGATATCAAATGAAGTATATCCGTTCCACCAGACTTTGCTATAAGCGATTTTCATTTGATATTGCCTGGTAAATGAGATTTTCTTCGTCATGAAGCCAGAAAGCCCTCATCTTTCTAAGCCTGACAGCTGATTCAGGGCTCATGTAAAACAAGGGTTAAAAGCAAAATGGGTAAAAGATTTTCATGACATAATTTTGCGACGACGTCAAATAGAGAAAATCATACCAAGAGGAAAAGGTATGTCTCTAGATATACATAAATCCATCGGCAGTGTTATTGTTCGTTGCAGAGCTGAGTCACTTGTTCCTTACCTCGGGTGGGGGGTAACAAGTAATTCTGAGCAATGCTTGAACTACAAATACTCTTATTCTAAAATTCTCTACCCCTTACCACTGGTGGAGGGAAGTAGAGTCTAATCAAAAAAAAGGTTAGTACTTTCAATATTAAAAGTTTTACCCCTTACCGCTGGTGGGGGGAAGTAAAGCATACAAAATAAATTATAGAAGAAGATGAAGAGTGTTATTGAGAGTCTTTACGATTCTGATCTGTTTATTAAATATTTTCCTTTTATATACAAATTCTAATTCTATTTTCCTTAACTAATTGTAAATACATATGGATGTGTGTGTGTGTGTGTGTATGTACATGTTGTTTTGGTATGTACTATTTACAAACAACCGCTTTGGGCTTATCATAATTTTAATTTTAATGCTTGCATTTGCGTCGGCTATATGTAGACATGTATATAATATCAATGCATTTACTAATGCATGTACATATGTATGGGTGTATGCATTTGTATGCGCGAACATTAGATTAAAAGAGATTAACGCATTGATATCTTATTTCGGTTGTGTACAAAATATTGACAGTTAAATGTGTTACAATTTATGGGTTTTTGTTCATTTCTCATGTTTATGTATTTTACTTTTCTTCTATTCGAAAGTGGACTGTATTTTCTGTGTGTCAATAAGTATTATTGTAAGTATATGTTTTTTATGTTCAGTTTTATTACCCTGGCAGATGTATGTATGTATGCATACATGTTCAAAGATGTTTGAACAGTTATCAAAAGCATTTAGTTAATTAATTTATTTTTATATCAACTTCACCTATACCGGCCAACTTCATTATTCTGTTTATTTCTATTTATAATGAAAGTACATATATGTATATATACCAAATAAATACACCTATGCAGCATCTGCTAAAAGTTGTCAAATTACTGATTGATTTATTCGTCAAAGCGTGCCCTAATCTACCTTCTACCTACAGCAGTAGCAACTACAACTCCTACGCATGCAAATGTACATACCTCATACTCTCACTATATACGTACTCCTACTCATTTACAATTTAATAGCAACCATAAGTAACATATCTGCATGTCATAAGATCTCTAATACATTTGTGGCCAAATAAAATCATTATTCCATTACAGCTAATGACAACGCTAAATATTCAATGATGCATCAGGTTATAGCAGAGCAAGCAATTTTGCCAACCGAACGAATGCTTACCGCAAGCCATAACCAACTTCTTTCTTATCCTACTGCGCTTTGCTTGCCAACTGTAATTTTTATTGGCTGATATATATTGTATCAGAGGCAGTACTTGTGCATGGGCATATATGTAATACTTCTATATTGGCAGTAAGCTAACTTCTCAATGTGTAAGCATTCCGAAATCAAAGCGAGACAGTCTAGTACCGTTTTTGTCAATGTATTGTGTACTTGAGTGCCGTTTTTGTATATGTGTTGTGTACATGTTTATTTATAAACGTATGTGTTCCTTTTCTTTCTTAAGTGTTTATTGATATATATGTACTGTAGTGTTTTCGGACGGTACTAGGTCTTACTGCCAATATAGGAGTATTACATATATATGCATGGGCATTTTTTATCTGGATAAAAGGATTTTTAAGATGGCTATTTTTGCAGGATTTAATCACTTAAAAAATTTAGAAAATATACGTACATAATAAAAAATATTTTAATAGAAAACAGCTCAATTTTCGCTTTTATATTAAAATATCAATAATGTTGCCGCCATGAAGTTATCGTGCAAGTGAAAATGTAGCTGTCAAAGTACCAAATTGCTGGCAATATTTATCAAGATAAAAACGCTCTGATAATTATTGCTTGCCAAGAGCAATATGCGGTCTCTATTGGCAAGATAAAAACTTTTACCTGTGGAGACACCAAGTTACAGCTCACAGGCAACAATTTCAAATATGTTTACATATACATGCACTCATATGCACATACATATATGCAGGTAACATAACATATGAAGCTACTTGTGAGCTGTTAATATTTTAAACCTTTATCGCTGTACAGCTTCGATGCTGCTTCCCCCAGAGCAGCAATAAATCAAAGCATTCAATACGACTGCAAGTCAAAAAAAAAAAACATTTACTTGCACATACATAGGTATATATGTAAATATGTACATATGTATGTTTTATCAAGGTAACTTTCGTAGCCTTCCCTAAATTCAAATTGTGGTCGCTATTTTCCGCAAATGTGAGTTCTGCAAACCTACTTGTACTGGGAAGGTGACGGTAAGTGTGTGAGCGGCTATTCGGCTGGTATCATTAGTGAGATTGATGAGCTCATGTTGCCTTGTAACTAGCTGCGCAATGCATAGCCAAGGGATGTATTTGTGGTAAGAGAATGACAGCAGAACAGGAAATGTTTCACTTAAATTGAGACAAAGTTCCCCATTGGGAATGTACGTAGGAGCACGGGAAGTACACTAAGAAAATTTGTGAACAGAAGAAGGAATTTTCAAACAAAGTTCTTATCCATACATATAATGAAATTGTAACAGGCCGATGTCTGTGCAGTATAGATATTAAAGAAAAATTGATACAAGGGTCTTTATTAGAACGACAGAAGCCAAATCAACAGTTTTTTTTTTTTAATTTTTGTCTGCCTGTATGTTTGTACACGCATCACTCGAAAACTACTAGCTGGAATTGATTGCAGTTTTCACCGATGTATTTCTAGAGGTCTAAGTTAAAATATAGAGAATAAATAAATTGGACCATTGCCACCTGTTTGAGAATTACAGTTTAAGTAAATTGATACGATAAAGTAAATATTGCAATATGGCTGCCAAAAGAAAGAGGTTTAAAATGGCTTACATCCGAAAATGTTTTTGTTGAAGGTTGCTACCTGTTTGAAAAATTATTAAATTATTAATTAAATCGATAAAATTAATGGCATAGGTATTACGAAACAGGTATCAAAGAGCACAAAAATAGTGTAAGTCACTGTAAACAATTTGATTTAAGCAAAACATTTAAAAACATGTTTACATATTATCGCTGTGACTAAGTGTGCAGATATGCTTGCTAATATTTTTTAGGTTCCAGGGGATCCTAGATTCAATTGCCGACAAGGGCAATAAAAACATTCGTTTTATTTTTCCGGACTATGAAAAAGCAAAAAAAGAAAAAAAACCGACCCCGCAACACCAAACAGCTCAATTTTATGTAGTGTTATTTCTTCCCATTCATGTAATATACGGTCTAAATATGAACCATATCAGACCATAAACACGGGGTTTCCAAATATCTCGACTCCTGCGCCACCTAGAGGATTAATTCACCTTGCACTGACATCGGGTTTGGAGCTAAATAAGTTTGAAGTGTTCAAGTCTTTGGCTAATCGGGGAGTTGGTTCAAAATTGATTACAAGAATTGATTACACACAAGCGAAACGTAATAAAAGTTTGTAACAACACGATATGATTATTTTTTTTTCTCAGTGTATTAGTACGAAACTGTATACTACCACACACAAACCCAATCACACTTCCTCTCAAATAGTTTTAATTTAATTTATTTATCTTTGCAGATTAAATGTTTGTTTTGCAACTTTTTGATTGATATTCTTGCACAATAAGAGATTGGGGATGAAACACCTAAATAAAAAGGATTTAAGATCTAAATATGCAGGTAAGTGCAGCATATGCTACGTACATATGTACAAAACGAAAAGTACAAAAAATACAATTTTATTAAACCATTTGAGAATAAAATGCGGTACAAATAATTTCTCTAAAAAACATTTGATATTTTATACATATTAGGAAATGAGCCTGGGAAAAATTTAATCTGCCAAGTTGTAATGCTTGAACTAAAGCTTTAAAAGTTAAGCTAACAACATTTCTCTTCACTTCAAGCTTTTCAAAATTTCGCATTAAACGGTACTAGAAAAGCAAGACTAATTGAATTTGCGGTGCAACACTTTTCAAATTGATTGCCAATAAAAACGAAAACCAAAACAAAAAACTGCAAAATAAGTAACACAAATCAAAAGTCACGCAAAGGTAAATGCAGGAGTGCCACCTACATATAAACACCAATAAGCAAATAACAAAAAAAAAACAAAATGATAAAACACGAAGAAAATCGTGAAAATAAAAGGTTTCCAGAAACAATGCAGCAGTGAAAATTGCTACAAACAATGTCATTGTTACAGCGCAAATTGTTAAATGAAAGACAGCTTGTTGCTGCCAATGTTAACGCTAGTTTCTGCTTTACACATAGAAATGGTTATAAATATATATATGTACTCATATGTACATATGTACATATGTGTGTGTGTTCTTGGCTCTAAAACAATGGCGAGCGAATAGCAATTTACAAGAATAAAACAGCACATACATACATACATATGTGTGTATGCATTTTTGTGTTCCTGTGCTATAAGAAATTCAATGGCGATTGCATTGTCGAAATCTACTACTGTTTCCACGAAAATTCGACTCAGCTGACACCAATTTAGTCCATTTATTGCATTACTAAAATTTTCAATTCGATTTTGTTGCTACCATGTTTTATCATGGTTGCTACTATTTATTGCCACAAACTCGGTTTTGTTGCATTTGAAAATAGAAATAAATCGAAATTAGTTTGGAAAATTGTATGCTTGCAAAGGGAGACCTGCTTTATTGTCTTATTTTTCTATGTAAAATGCTGTAATTTATTTTTATACGTTCGCACTCGAATAATAAATTTACCAATTGGCTACTCTTGCACAGATTAAAAGCCATCCCCAATTAATTAGAGTTTGCGGAAGTTTTTACTAAAAAATACTAAATTAATTTTAAGTTTTGTTTGGTGTTAAGCATCTTCGATTTCGGTGGCGTAAAATTTTAACAGCTTACGCTTGCTAATCATGCAAGTTGGCTCTCAAGCCAACCCAGCATTAGATGTGAACGCATGCATTAAATGAGGACGTTTATCCGTAAAGTATAGGTCAACGCCTGCTTATCTCTATATTTTTTTCAGGAGGATTTTAAATGACAACTAATAAATGTTTAATCGTAGCCTATGGATGCTAATATGTATGAGTATCTTTTCGAACACTAAATTAATAATAGATAATATCGATAAATGTGAAAATTTATAAAAATGTCGTTAAATTTATCGATAACAATATCGATGGTTATAAAGTATCGGTATGCATCATTATTTACATCAGTAAAAAAGTTGCAAAACGTGTACGTATGTACAAATATGAAAAGTAAATTATTTAAAATGTCGATAAGACATTTCCTTACAACGCGACTAGACATTTCCTTACAACTAACCTCCCTGGATTAACCCTTTCGGTACATCTTTTTAGATTCGGGCTTTAAAAATCCAGTTTTCTTATTAAATGATCCTTAATACATTATATAATAACATTCAATTTAACTTTTTTCCAAAATGCGATTCTAAAGTGATTTTTGGAATGATGCCATATGGCATCATTTGTCCTAACTGGTGTAAAAAATATGCAAAGATTTTTGAATATGGTATTTTATTTTATTCAAATCAAATTAAATAACACCACAAAAATTTAATAAAATAAGTTGGAACATGCACAGATCTAATAATTGATACCATATGGCATCACACACGTTTAAAAATATACCACGCGTTTATTAGCACTTTTTATACCCGAGCGCGCTTGTGCACAAGGGTATATTAATTTTGTTCACATAACGGTTGTTTGTAACAGCCAAAACGAATCGAGATAGATATAGACAAATGTATACATAAATGATCAGGATGAAAAAAAGAAATCGATTAAGCCATGTCTGTCTGTCCGTCCGTCTGTCCGTCTGTCCGTCCGTCCGTGTACACGATAACTCGAGCAAAAATTGAGATATCTCAACGAAATCCAGAAATACGAAAACTGCGATATTTTAGTAACTACTGAAGATAATGCACTCAAAATTGATATTTACAATAATTTTTAGACGAAAAATAAGAATCTTATACATTTTTGGAAAATGGGCGTAGCCACGCCCACTTATGGTTACATGTGTATATCTTGGTAACCGCTGCACCAATTTCTTCCAAACTTGGCACAGTTGTTGGCCTTCGCATAACATACCAAATGGCTGAAAAATTTTTAAAATCGCTCAATAACCACGCCTACTTCCCATATAACGGTAATTTTCAGAAATACGAAAACTGCGATATTTTAGTACCTACTGGAGATTATTCACTCAAAATTAATACTTACAATAATTTTTAGACGAAAAATAAGAATATTATAAATTTTTGGAAAATGGGCGTAGCCACGCCCACTTATGGTTACAAGTGTATATCTTGGTAACCGCTGCACCACTTTCTTCCAAACTTGGCACAGTTGTTGGCCTTGGTACAGCATAAAAAATCACCGAAACTTTTTAAAATCGGACAATAACCACGCCCGCATCCCATATAACGGTAATTTAGAGAAATACAAAATCTCCGATAAATCAGTAAATATTGAAGCTAATTTTTTCAAAATTGATGCTTGCAACTATTCTTTACCAAGAAATACGTTTATGGTAAAATTTTTGAAAATGGGCGTGGCACCGCCCACTTATGATCACATATATGTATATCGGTAACCGTTCTACCAATTTGTACCAAACTCGGTGCGGTTATTGTGCTTGCCACATATAAGCAAAACGTTGAAAATTATTGAAATCGGACTAAAATAACGGCCGCTTCTCATATAACGGTAAATTTCAGAAATGCTTGAAACTTCAATATTTCGAAATTGAAGGACGCTAATTTACTCAAAAATGATACACCCCGGCTTACCATCTAGCGGAAGGTTTCGGAAAGGTGAATAAACATATATTTAATACTTGCGCCGGGTATTTAATGTTCGGCTCCGCCCGAGCTTAGACTTTCTTACTTGTTTAAATTAAATTACAAGTTCGAGCAATATTTGACACTATTTTGGAGACTATAGCGTATTTATTTGTTTTTAATTTATTTGGTTATTTGGTAAAATATAGTATTTTAATGTAGACCTTTCTAAGCAGAAGAAAATCGATATTTTAGTAAAGTTTTAAAATTGAAATTCTTCATCTACTAAGGATAAAAATAACAATACCGTATTAAAATATAGTTTATAAAACTTCCCATTACAGCGTTGCATATAAAAATATAATTTCAGATAAGCTCAATTAAATCTGTGAGTATTCAAAAAAGCATGAAGCCATATGGCATCAAAATAGCGAAAGGGTTAAATTGTGTTATAGCCGTTAGGCTATTGACGAAGATAGCGGCTATTCCAGTGGAAACCATGCTACTATGATATGACTGATTGAGCTACAAAACCACCGGCTGTCGTTGGGTCCTTGCTCCTCCTTTCAAATCTTAGCTTAAATGATAATATGTACACTATTTACATATGTAATGATTGTATCATTATGTACGACTCCTATCCAGTGTTGGCAGTTTAGCCGTTTTCCGGGTAGATTTAGCCGGTTGCGATGGCAAATAGCTGGCAGCCGATTTGTCAGCCGTTGTGCAAAAAAATTAGCCTTTTCAGCCAGTTTTGCTATAGGCCGTATTTTCTAAAAATTTAAATAGTTTCCTTTTGTACAAATTTACGGACCCAAAATCTATTAGAAATGACAAGGCTAATATTTGGGAAAAGTTTAAAATTGCAGCTGATTACTTAAAAAAAAATTTTAAATCCAAATTTCATACTGTGTGCAAATATTATGAAAATTTTACAAATGTTCACGAAAACTTTTTAACTTTTTGCTCATCATCATTAAAAATTTTTAAATTGTAGTATAATAGTGCAAATTTAAAGCAACTAGCGTATGCCGTTAATTTTGCAATTTCTTTGTTGATGGTGTTTCGCATTTTTTTTTTTTTATATAAAAAATGGTAAAATATACTTTGTGTGGAAAAAAATGCCTAACACCGTCATACAATAAATCAAAAATCAATGATGGGTCATAGCTATGTACTTAAAATTTGCACTAGTATACTCTATTAAAATTTAATAGACTATAAAACTGCATACCATAATTTTTCTAAAGAATGCGGATTAAAGAGTTTCAAATTTCGAAGAATTTTCATGATTTTTGCACAAGGTTTGAAGTTTGGTAAATCAAAATGGTGTTTGGCAAAAAATCAGCTTTATTAATTTACCAGTACCTGTTTTTTTTTAGAATTAATTTAATTAATTTACTAGTCTTTCAACTTGTAAGTTATTTAAATAAAACATGTGAATTTTAGTTGAAACATTTTAGCCGCTTTTTTTGGCCAATTTAGCCTGTCGGCCCAAAAAGTTCTGGCAACACTGCTCCTATCTATCATTTGGGGGAAATCCTACTGATATTTTTGCATTGTAATCTATGCTGGGTTCCAACATCCAATGGTTGAAGGTAGGATTTTCCTGGCATGTGCTATTCAAGGCTCCGAGGCTATTGAAACTTTAGATTTTTCCAATAGCCTCCATGAAATTTTCAACATATTTTCGCTTCGCATTAGACTGGAGTCTCCCGAGTGGCAATCTCTATCATGACTGTGCTTTACATATCTTAAGGCACGTACGGTAACTAGTCCCAATATATAATTTTAAAAGCTGTAATTAACTAAATCCTTAACATCTCTTTTCCCCAGTTTCCTTTTTCAATTAAGGCATACTTAGAAATGTGCATGAGTTCGCATAGGCAAGAATTAACTTCAGTTAATATTCACTATTTACTCACTATTCATCTCGCAAATTATATGTGACTAATTAGTAAAACCTCTCCATTTCAGAAACAAGAAAAAAGACGCGAACTGCGTCTGAAAAGATTTTGGCGTACACCCAAAACAACATCATCCGAAGATTCGACTGGCTATGAAAGCCCCACGCGTACCACGAAACCCGGCAGCGATGCACAGCGCTTCAATCATCTGCATTATACCAGCTTAGCGCAAAGCGCACCGGGCGGGCATGAGAATGGCAGCACCTACAACAAACCGACATGTTCGCTACCGCTATTGCAAGTGTGGCCCAGTCAGGTAGGTGCAAATTTATTGCTCTCAAATTTATGAAAATAAAAATGGAAGAAATGAAGCTGCAATATATCTGCCAATTGGTTGTATGAAAGTAACATTGTGGTTGAATTTGACATATTCAAAGACGAGTTGAATAATGATATCACCCGGGCTGGAAAATCTAAGCAAAAGTTTCGCAAAGCTTATTTGGCATATATCTGGAGTTTGTTCATGTATTTGACACGTGCGCATACTTCGCATTTTCGGGGAATATGAAACGATAGATGAGACTTCAAGGATTTGATCGATGAAGCTGGAAAAGCTACGTAATTGCCAAACTAAAAAACTGCTTGAACTGAATCTGAACAGACTTGGCGTTCATTAAGGAAAATTTTGGTTGTTTGATAGTTGGCATTACAGAGCTTCAAATAAAAGGTTCGATGTTGAAAGAATATATAGAAATTGTGAAAAGTGTAAACCACGACTGAGAGTGAAGATCTATCCAATTACATCTAAGGATGAGTAAAGAAGTTGTTCCAATTATTCAATATATTTAAATGGCCTGAGAATGAGAGGGCCTATTTTTTTATTGATAACACAGCCACATAAATAATCGGGTTTCGGGGATCAGACTATGTATCTGTTTCTTATGTATTTTGATGCGTTTTGATCCATCACTTCTGATTTTTTTTCTAACCGCAAAATGTGACAGGACAGATTGGTGTTCAGCGTATCAAAATACATAGGGAATCCCCGAACCTCGACACATTTTTTTTGTGGTTGTGTAATTGAAAAAATCATGTAATTTTATACTTTAATACCGATATTATTGAGTAAAAATAATATCGACCCCTAACCGCCAAAGTAACGTGATATTTTTTTTTTAATTTTCTTTTTGATGCAGAAATATTCTTAGAGCATCAAGATGCATTTCTGCATTAAAAATAAAATTTTGATAAAAATTTCACTTACGTTATGTTGGCGGTTATGGCTCGATACTGTAAGATAGAAATAAAATTTCATTATTATGAGCATATTTTGTTTGTTTATCGAGCTTTCTAAAGTGCTTAAACTAATTTTTGTACACATATTTGCCAGCCCTGGAGATCACTATTCAACCAATTTTCAAATTTAGACTTTATCCGATATAAGGCTAGCTATTTCTAGTATACATATTTTGGGTCCATGCATAGGAATCTGATCTTAGAATAGCTCTGTCGTATCAGGTTTTTTAAATATCCTAACCTAAAAAATCGACAAATCGGGTTTTGGCCTATTTTCGATGTTACGTAGCATAACGGCGTTTTGGTTAATCAAAAAAATATACATGATATTTTAAAGGTTTGCTCAAATATCTCTTTTCACCGAGAAATTTGAATTTAAGCAGTTTCTTCATAGTTTGAAAATTTCAAAATAAAATTTCTCTATTTGCGAAATCCATCTCAAATCAGGCAGGCTGACAACTTCACATCATAGATTTGCTTGCCGATGAAATATGTATGTTATTCTACAAGGAAAATGAAAGGATACGTATTTTTTATTTTCTTGAAAAAAACTATTTTTAATAAAGATATGCGCAAATCAATTTCGAATGATAAAAATTAAAAAAAACGATAAGAAAAAATTTTGTTTTGCCTGCCATTTTTTCTAATTAAAAAAAAAAAAAAATGTTGTTTTCCTGATTCTTATAGGTGGCCCAGCTTACCTTGAAAATTCGTTTGAAATTTGCAAAAACTTTTAAAATTAAGAAAAGGGGGGCCAATTTTGTAAAAAGAAAAAATGTTAACTTGCTCGAAAAAGCTAAATTTTTTCTTCAACATTTTACAACAAATTTTTACCAGTATAAGGAAGAATCCGTAAAAGTTTGAAGCTGGCTATTAAACCATTTTTGAGGTCACGAGATTTTTTTTCCAAAATAAAAGAATATATGTTTATTTTTTTTTTGAAATTTGTTAGGCTTTTGGGATCTAACCGTTGTGTAAATAAAAAGACTTTATTTAACTTTTTCCCGACGTTTCGCTAAGAAATTTAGCATCTTCAGGGGATTTTTTCGTTTATTTACCTGCGCAGCAATAAATATAAAACATTAACAAAACAAAAAAAAACTAATAAACGTATGAATAAACAAAAAAAAATAAATAGTAAAGTTTAACACAAAAGAGCTGTTAACTTACATTGCATTTAAAATTAAACTTTGAGACGTAAAACTAAAAATCGTTACCAACGCTTGTGGTAGCTTTGTCTGAACTGAGTATTACTAATATTTATAAACAGGGAACGGATTAGGACCTAAAAACCTATAAAAAAGGCAAAATAAAATAACGAAATAGGCTGGAAAAGGCAAAACAAAATATCGAAAAAGGCAGGAAAAGGCACTAGGTATTGCAAAAAAAGCAAAATAAGGCACGAAAAAAAGACAGAAAATACGAAGAACAATCAAAAAATACATTTATTTTAAAAATGTTTATATTACAAGTAAAAAGAGAAAAACTATGAACTAGTTTCACTGTATGAAAAATTTGTACTTTGAATCTTTGACTATTTTATCCTTTCGAGTTTCTAATTCATAAAACTTTAATCTGTATAGTTGTAGTAACATTGAACCACAAGATGCATTTTGAAGTTTTCTGGCAGCATTTTCATTCGATTTTCGCGAAGAAAAGCCTTGAATGTACTAAATGTGCGCTCGACGTAAGTTGATACAAGTAGAGCCCAATTTAAATATGGAACGTTTGAAACGCTCATATTATCAGGAATAAGGGCGTTTTCCTCGCCCTTTACAATTTTATCCACACCCCTTATTGTCTCCAAGCCTTCGTTAGCTGAGAAAACGGCTATGAATTTTTCCAACACCAATTTGGCAAGAGGTCCCTGCGCTTCTATAAGCCGCATGGACATGTGTATATTTTTTAATCTTAAAAAAAAAAAAAATTGTAAATGCTATAATCACTTTTTTAAAGGTAGAAAAGGCAAAAAAGGCAAATATCTTAAAAAAGGCAAAAAAAAGGCAAATATCTTAAAAAAGGCAAAAAAAGTCAACATCAAATGTGTATGTATGGAATCAGGGAAAGCTAAATCGTGGACATTCTTAATCGAATATACTCTATCTCTTTAGCAGAAAAAAAGGCAATTTCCATAAAATCCGTTCCCTGTTTATTAATATAATAAATAAACTGAAGACGGTTACCGCGGTGTAACCGAAATATATTGGGGAAAAATTAAAAAAAAGGGTGTTTTTAATTAAAATTCCATAAAAAATTTTACTCGAGCCGGCAAAACCAACAAATTAAGAAAAAATTTATAATAATTGATTTTTTTCGTTTTGAAAAAAAAAAATCTCCTGACCTCAAAAGTTGTTTAGCCCGCTACAAACTTATATCAATTCTTCCTCATACTGGCAAAAAATTTTGTAAAATTTTGAAGGAAAAAATATGGCTTTTTCGTGAAAATCAACTTTTTTTCTTTTTACAAAATTGGCCGCCATTTTGTTAATTTTAAAAGTTTTTGCAAATATCAAACGAATTTTTAATGTAAGCTAGGCCACCTATAAGAATCAGGAAAAGAAAGTTATTTTTTATTAATAAAAAAATGGCAGGCAAAAAAATTTGTATCTTTTTTTTTTGTCTTTTATCATTCAAAATTGATATGTGCATATCTTTATTAAAAATATTTTTTTACAAACAAAGAAAGAATACGTATCTTTTAATTTTCCTTGTAGAATAACATATTTCATCGGCAAGCAAATCTATGATGTTAGAAAATTTTATAGTTCATTTAGCAGCTGGCAATTGGCAAAATTTTAATTTGACATAAAATTCGCGACAAGCGTATTTGAGAATCTAATATGTGACATTTTAACAAAGTAGTCCATTTGACAGCTGTCAACTGTCAACGTTTTAATTTGACATAAAATTCGTGACTAGCACGTCGAAAAACTGTTAAGTAGCTTTTCAAAAAGAGCATATTCGGATTTAGCAAGGCAAAAATACTACGAGTATGATCTTACAGTTTTATTGAAATCGTAACATCCCTCGAATAAAACATGGCCTCCTCGTCTACTTGCGGCATGTGAAAGAACAAGAGATATTCTAAAAAAATGCTTTGTATAGTTTTTAGAGAAACAAAACCATGGCGTGCTAACCAAGTAACCCCGAAAATAGACTAAAATCGGCCAGCCTTATCTAATATGCAATTTTCATGTCGAAATAAGTAGTATGTATGTATGTAGCGTTAGGCTCATAACACACAACACATTCACATGTTGTAGCCTACATAAATATGTATGTAGATACATATATACATGCATACGAGTATGTAGTGTACTTCTGTAATCATTGCTAACTGTCCTTGTTTGATTTTAATTATTTTGGCTTACATTTATTATATGAAAAACCTATGTACTTTCTGTTGTTTTCTTGGTTTGGCGTTGGTTATTGTGATTCGTTGTGATGTATTGTGGTGAATAAAAAACTGTAGCCACTTTTGCGACAGGAGGGCTTCGTGCAGTTGCGACGTAACAGCGGCCCTGAAGGCCAACGGGTAGGCGTGTCAATTTAAAAATAAATACATAATTTCTTTCTCTAAAAATTTAAAGTTGCCTATAAAACTAAATTTATACATACATAAGTATACGTAATGTATATTTGTACGATGCATGTTTTTGTAATACTTTTTGGATCCCTTTTTCTCCTAACAAATGCAAATGAGGTTAATAAACCTTAACAAATTTTTTGCAAACTAAAATTTTTTTTCAAATTTTTTAAATGTTTCCATGGTGCTTTTTTATTTAATTTTTCGATAGAACTAATTTATTATACCATTTCCCAAAATGTATGCAACTAAACAAAAATACCGTTATGGTTATAAAAATACTTAAATACGAAATGCTACGCTTTCTGCTATTAACCCTGTTCAACCAAGTCCTTATGGTTCATTATTTTTGTACAAATAATAATTAAATGAAATTTTTTCAAATTTAAACTTGAAAACTTTGATTTTTGTAGCTGTTTTGGAAAATTTATTTCAACTTATTTAAAATGCACTAAATCGCTAATTTCTAACACATTATACTAACCACGACAAACGCTAGTACACAGACAAAACCTCGATATACCGATCTTCAGTGCAACAATTCTCTAAAATAATTTCGTTTTTCTATAGTAAACCAAAAAAAAATATTATTTCGTTATTAAGATACTTTTTTCAAAATTTTAGATATCTTCGCAGGAGTAAGTCGCTCAGACAAACTCGCAAGCTGTAAATAACTATGAAATTAAAACGAATTTATGTATATTGTTGTATCGAGGTTTTACTGCACCTGTACGAAAGATATCTGCAGCAACAACAGTACTATACCACTTATTACTAACATTTAGCAGTTTTTCGTATATTTATTACCATTAACTTGTCTAAATCACCTTCACATTTGGTCATTCGGTTTCCACTGTCGGCCTTTTTTTACTCAGCGCACACCCAGCCACCCCTTTAACTGAATATTTAAATGTGACAACTCTATATTACCAGCACAGAAATTCCCTAACCAATTTTTTCCCTCTCTATCTCTCCCCTTCGCTCTCAACTAGGACTCACCGCGCGGCGAGGCGGACGGCCAGTCCTTCATTTTCCCTGTCATTGCCGAGACGAGTACGAGCAGCAGCAGCGGCGCTGGCAGCAGCAGTACGACTGGGGACAGCGCCGGCGCGAGCAGTTCCACAACCACTACCACCACCAGTAGCGGCACATCTGGCGTTTGCAACAATCACAACAACAGTACTAATTTAAGTCACAACAACAATAGCAGTGGCAATGGCAATCATTTAACGCTCAGCAACAGCAGCACCAGCAACATAGGCGGACGGCGTCGCAGCTCGCTTTACTGTGATACTTTGCATGCCGGCGACTCAGGCATCGATTCGGTGCAAGCGTCGCCCTCGCCCAACGCACTGCCGCCGCCACCACCAGGTTGTTCGCTGCTCAGCGGCGACGGCTGCCTAGGTTTAGGCAGCAACTCCTGCAATGTTTCGCCCGCCACTACCCCTACGCAAGGTTCACCCAATCTCTCGCTGGGTGGCGCACGCGCTGGTGCACGCGCCAGCATCAGCGTTGGCGCGGCGAACTATCGACGCAAGTCAAGCGCACTACTACATCCCGATCATGCGCGTTTATTTGCGTTGCGCATGAAACATGCCGCCGCTCTGGAACGCGCACAAACCTCACCCGATCAAACATCCATCGAAGATGCTACAGAGTTCCACGATAATGGGCTGGCGACAAATTTGCGTCTTTGCTCTGCGTCCTCGTCGACGACGTCGTCGCTGACCTCTGTCGCAGCGGTTAGCTTAGGCGGCGGAGCGGTGGGAGCAATCAGTGGCGGAGCCGCTGGCTCCTCCTCATCCTCCGCCGCTGCTGTGGCAGCATGTCTGGCTGCCGGCGCTGGTACGGGTTCACAGCAGCGCGTCTCCGACCCATGGCTGCAGCCGCAATCGGATCGTGAGCGTGATTCGCGCTACGAACGGCGCCGTTCCTCCACAATGACGGCGCGTTACTCACTCTTCGATGCGCTGGATCTCGAATATGTGTTGTTGCGTGCAGCGGCGCGTGGTTCAGTGGGACCCTATTCGCTGAGTGAATCTATACATAAACTGACATTTACTCAATCGCTTGCGTTTCCGGCACTCGCGCGCGGTCTTGCCACAAAACGAAGACGCTCGCATACGCGTACAAGTTCGCGGCCATTAAATCCAAACGAGTCGGGCTTGAATACGTGTGCGAAAGTTGTGACAGCAGTCATATTGGTGGGCATTTCGTTTATGGTGTTTCTGATTGTGTACAAATTTGTGCGGACGTGAGGTTTACTCCTGGCCCCGACAGACTTTCCCGTCACATATCAACAAACGAACGGGAATGTGAATATGTACGCATTCTCTACGGGAAATACTAGTGCCAGTAGAACGCTGTCGGGGTTCAGGAGAGTATTGGGTCTGAAAGACCGGGATTGAAAGCACATGAGTGAAGAATCAACGCGGGTGTAAGAAAGCAAATGATAAGCTCGCAATAATTTTAGAAAACTATAGGAATAAAAATTGTGATAAAAAAGTGTGCAATGCTGTAAAAAACAAACCGACACAATACTGCTTCAATGCATAGTAATGCTGGAATCACGCCATTTATGTTAAGAAATGGAGCTGATAGCAAAAAGAGTTTCAATTAAAACATTTTGTAATTAAGAAAAAAATCACTAACACAAAATGCCTTTTAAAATAGTATCTGCTACCTTTTTAATACTAATAGCATTTTCAATACCTTTTTACCTACCTTTTTACATATGTATGTAGACTACTCTATGCTCAGAGCTTCTATTAGATAGATCATTAAATGTAACTCTATTTTACTGGCTAATTGGATATTTTTATATTGGCATTTAGTTAATTACCTTTAGAAAATGGAGCGCTCACGCACAAAAATGTCATTTAAGTGGCCATGTTTTAGTTGTAAAAGAGGTTTGATATGAAGAATGAGGGAAGATTGATTGACTGAAATAAAGGATGTGCTGAGATATTCAGTCTAAGGCCAGTATCTCCCTTACGCGCACTATCGACTATCGCTCTATTCAGAGTTTCTAGTGGCTTAACTGGTCCAATGTCTGGACACATTAAAATTCCCGGAAACTTTAATTTCGTCGATGTCAACTTGAATCACTATTTACCTAGATTTCCTCAGCACTTTCTTCACTCACATGCCCTGATGGAAGGAAAGAAGGCCCAACAGACACGGACGGTTCGAAGCTTAACTGTAGGTTCAATGAAGGTGCCGCCTTTTGAGAAACGTCTATCAATCTCAAATTGAGCCTAACAGACTGTTGTTGGGTATTCCATATAGTGATGCTTGCGATTAGTCAAGTAGTAAATATACTGATCAGGTGTGTAACGCCTAAACATAAAGTAAGTCGAAATTTATGCTCGGATCTCTTTCTAACCAGGCTTATATTAGTAATAGTAATGTTCAGGAAAATGCTTAGCTAATTATCTAGCTAATAAGGTTCTCTCGAGGTGGTTTCTATGAACATAAAGAGGATGTAGTTTGGAATACCTACAAACTTATATTTGACAAATGTGTCACATATTATCTCAGCGATCGATTTTTAAAACTAGGACAGCATTCGGCCCATGGCGAATCTGGGACGGTCAAATGAACTTCCCAGAGATCCATAACCTAGCTTCTGTTTAAAGTTTGTCAGGACACTGTTCGAATGGATTAGATGAGGATATGCTCAGCGGTTTGGAGGATAATGAGGTGAGGCACCTTTTTTCTAAATCTGTCCAGCTATCCATACACTGCATGCATAAACCTAGTGGCTTGTCAATGATTCCACATTTCTTCATTTTCAGTTTTCCATACCTTGCTTTACCTTTTGTGTTCGATAGCAATGTGAACCAATACGATCTGCAGCCCCTCAATTACTTTCAGCGGTCACTGAGAAAAAATATTCCTCAATTATGCTGAATTATAATGCCGAAATAGCAAAAGCTTTAACTGGTTAAAAGCTAAGAAAGGCATGGTCAGAATACCCTTGCACTCGTAATGCATTTCGCCCAGAAATAGTTTCCAAGTAGACCGAGGTCAATGTTTTTTTTTTTGTTTTTATCTCTATGTGGATACATTAACTCAACCAAGCTAACCCTTTTCATAATATTAATATCCTTCAAATAAGCAGTCTAAATTGCACGTTTAGCTAGAAGTAGCTGCATTGGTTCGGCACCGATAGTTAAGATTAGGGTGGTGGGCTGAAGTAACCTACAGATCTAAGCAGCCTATGAACGTATATATATTTTCACGAGCAGTTTTTCCTAGCAGAAATATGCCAAAAGATTTGCCATTGCTTGGGCGACTGCTTTTAGAAAACAGTTCTTCTATAAATTCATATAAAAATATATGAATATAATGAAAGATTTGTAGGGTTAAATATTTTATCGCCCAGGCATAACTCTATTTCTCAATCGCCTCAAAGCGCCATACTTATTATCTCAATCACTACTGCTCGGGATCCAGGCAGTATCTTCTCGCAAACTCTGGCTGGAGAATAATTTTATCATACGAGCAAGTACAAGATAGTCGGCAGGACAGCAACGCATATTTGGCCTAGGTGGGATAACCGTAGATATATCCCTCTAGCATTGCCTGATGGGAACCCACGCTAGTAGGATGGGTATACAGTCAAACGACTACTTACTGCCGTGATGAGGAGGCATTCGAAAGCAAAGCCACTGGTTGGCGCTCGTTTGTCCACTATTCTTTTGAATGTTTGGCTGAACTGGATATCAACGAGTTTGTGTGTTTCATTAGGGCTACAAATTGGTTTTACTTCTAAGGTATAAGAAGGGTAAGGAGTCAAGAGTTAGGCACCACAATGGGCCCACAGTGTCCTAAGTGTGACCTTTTCCTTAAAACCACGAAAGGTTCACCGACACACAGTGTGTGAAATGACCTCTTTTCGAGAACGGCTAGCGAAATAAGTTTAATTGCTTTTGAAACGAAAAATTCAGGAAAAAAAATTTTAAAATTAAAAAAAAAAACGTGCTAAATTTAAAAAAAATACGCATATAAAAGAGCACCAACCCAACTCGTTTTAAATTTGAGTATGCTTTTTCGATATACGAAATTATAATTAAGAAGAAAAAAAAAAATTATTTCATGTTCCCTCCCATCTGATGGTAATTGAACCCGGACCCTCTTGGCCGCAACCAATTGTATCAAGCGTCTTTGCACACTCAGCTACAGCCATACATATAAATGTGTTTTAAAATGTTGAGTTTGAATCAACATTAGAGCGCGCGATTAGTGCGTACCATGTATGTGTGTATGTGTTGTCACCGCTGTGTAAGCTTTGTATTCATTTGTATATGAAAAGCATCCGATACGTGCAAAACGCCATCCGTGCAGTGAAAAATACTTCATTTTAATACAGGCGTATTTGAATTGAATATACGTAGTGTATGTATAATGGAAAAATCCATTTCGTTAACACTTTTCACTAGATTTAAATACGAGCATTTTTAAATGGTAATCAAATAAAATTTTTTTTATTCTTACAACGCGTTTTTTTTTCTCAGTGCATCAATGGATAAAAAAAAAGTTTTCTTTATCTTTAGACTAGAGGGTACAAAATGTTTTTTTTTATATTTTGACCTGAAAACGGCAGATAATGATATTTAAAAAAAATGTTTTATACATATAAGTATATTTGCATGTGTGTACATATATGATTTGCTATATTTGCGTCAAGGAATCCATTTTCGTGGTCACAATAACCGAAAAAATTTTAATTTTTTTAGTTCTTTACATGCAAAGTTTCGGTAAAAAAAAATATTTTTCTTTTCATCTAATCGAATAAAAAATTACTATGACCTTTAAGGTGACCTTGTAATGCAAAATTTTCAAGTTTTCAATAATTTTTTTAATCAGAAAACAGCATGCAATAAAGTTATAAAAAGGGGGAAAAAATGTACACCATTTTTTGTTGTGGGTAATTTTAAAGGTAAAGGCAATTTTTTAACCAGGAAAATTTTTTTCCTGAACTCCTCATCTCAAAATCTTTAAAATACAGTTAAATTTATTTCCGTAGCCGTTCTCGTTCTCTAAATGTAAGATGTTGCCACAAGAAAGTTAAATTTCCACACTGTGTGACATCCTCTAACATATCGGTTAGTCTTCTTTTTAAAGCAAAATTTCACTTCAAATTTCTTAGTTTTTTATATGTCATAAGTAATATTTTCTTTTTGCTTCCCTAAAAAATTTTATTACTATCAAAGTGCCTACTTATCTAACAATCTTAACTTAAGCTTCGAATTTAATCAGACAAAAAGTATTGAAAATATATCTTAAACTAAAACAAGCTGCTTCAACTTTGAAACATTTTTAATTTAACTAAATAATTAAACGCTAACTAGCTACGTATATGTAAAAATGCAAAAAAAATGATGCTTATAAAAATATTTGTACTTAAATATGTAAAGTTTTTTTTGTACACTTATAATAAAAAATTCGAAATAAAACAATAGTAATAAGAACTATGTGGTTTTAAGCGAGTATACATATAATGATATTTTGAGATTAATTTAGTATAATATTGAAATTAATAAAAAGTTATACGTACGTACTTATAATAAAGATGAAATGAGCTATTTGCAATTCAATAAAGTTTTATAAACGAAAACAGGTATATGCATGTACTAATGTAATTTTTTTTTACCAAAATATTCGCTTTTAGTATACATATTATGCGTATTATCTTAGATATTAACCCCAATTTTCATAAGCAATTATAACTTATAAAACATACATACAGTTGGGCGATTATCTTACATTTAAATAATGGGAAACTCAAAATTCGAAATATATTTTCTAAAATCATAAAATCTTTAATTGGTATTATATGTATATCTTTGTCGAAAAATTTTTTACAAATATTTGGGTTTGAACAAAATATATACATATGTATACATGTGCGACAAGGCAAAAATCGCTGAAACTATCAACCGTCAACAGTGACCACTAAATTGTTTCCATTGCCGTATACACGAACCTTAAGCACTGAACACAAATATCAATAATACAAAAAAGTGACAAGTAAAATGTAATCAACGCAAGCTGTGGCAGTGACAAGGAAATTATTAAATTAATTAGAGATACATACATACGTACATAAATATGTTGATATCCAATAATAAAGGAGTTGAGAAAAAATTTGGCAAAATAAACATTTGATAGGAAAAAGTGTGTTTCATGAATACATAAAATGTTAGATCTGCATTCGTGTAGATGGCTTCCTTTTTAGCAGAAGAAATCGTATTAACATTTACTTATTTATGTAAATCAATTGGATAATTTGACAAGGCAGAACAAAAATACATATCGATCCTCTGCAATAACGACACAATTACGAATTCAAAAAACTAAAACCCTTACTACTGTTAAGTGGCTCTTGTCTCTAATCCTTGTCTAATTCAAGTCTAATCCTTAATAAAGTAGGTAGTAAGAATAACTAAAGGATTAGAGACATGAGACACATAATAGTAGTAAGGGTTTTTATTTGTTTAATTTTTAATTATGTATCTACAATACAATTGATCGTACCTTACAAAACAAAGCAAAAAAAATTGTTTTTGCCAGGCGATTTGGAAAAAATATGTTTTTGGCCGAGCTTAGAAGTCGTCTTTTTAAGTTTTTTATAAAACTGGTTCTATTGGAATAATCGAAATACTTTCTTAGCAAAAGTGTTGTTTTGGTGGGCATTAATGTACTGGCATTAGGATAAGAACTGATATCTGGTGGTAAATACTAGAACGGAGTGTTTGAACTTTGGCACGAAAAAATGTTCTCCTCAAATTATCATACTTTAAGACTCCACCGTAAATGCTGAAGATATGGCGAACAATGTAAAATACGACCCCTATGTTCGGCCAAAAAAAATCGAAATCGAAAGGGACATAACAGTTATAAGTTATATCGCAAAAGCGTTGCTCCATGAGAGTTATTAGATGAGAAATATTTTTTATTTCGCCAATAAGAGTTACAACCCAACGTTAACTTTTTAAGTTGCCTGATAACTGTTATGGAGGAGAAATATTTTTTCCGTTGCCAATAAGAGTTTTTTCCCAACATTTATTTTTACTTTGTCTGATAAGAGTTGTTTCACTCTTCCAATTTTATTTTCATCAACTTTATCACACAACGTAAAAATAACTGTTATCAACCAACATAAAAAATAAACGTTGAGCAATAACTGTTATCAAACAACATAAAAAATAAAATTAGGGTTATAACTCTTATCGGCGAAATAAAATATATTTCTTATCTAATAACTGTTGTGAAACAACGATTTCGTTGAATTTCAGAATTCGGGCAACGT